TTCGACAACTGGGGGAAAAAAGTTTACAATTTTAATGCAGAAAATACTTAAGAGACAAGAAAATTCTTATAAGGGGATTTTTTCATATTTTATGAGCTGAAAAATAATAAATATAATTGCAGCTGGAATTTTTATTTTTTATTTTAATTGTCAGAGTCTGGGAGTATTTGACTGGAACTTATAGATAAGATACATATAAATCTGTATTTGTATATGTATCTGTATCTGTATCTGTATCTGTATCTGTATCTGTATCTGTATCTGTATCTGTATCTGTATCTGTATCTGTATCTGTATCTGTATCTGTATCTGTATCTGTATCTGTATCTGTATCTGTATCTGTATCTGTATCTGTATCTGTATCTGTATTTGTATCTGTATCTGTATCATTTATTTGTATCTTTCATCTGCAGCTTTTATCTGTATGTTATATGTATCTATATCTTTCCTCATCTATCTCTTTCTCTAGCGTTTCAGTATGCTAAACTCTATTTCCATTTAGATATTTTCAATCAGTTACACTTTGAGGTCAGATATTTAAAGCCTGCGACACTTACTAATCTGTTCGTGCGCCCCATCTGCAACGTGTCCAGCAACAATTCAATCAAATGGCTGCTACAAGTGCGTGGAAAACTAATTAAAATGCCATCAACGTGCGAGGCATGTGGAAGCCGCGTATTGCTGCGGGCCATGCGCGAAACATGTCCAAATGGCCAGAACGAGGATTTTGGCCTGAGTAACAAAGTACGAGTCACAGTTGGAGCTGCCATTTACGCGTAATTTGGCGCGCCTAAAAGCATGCTGAGCACCCAACGAAAAACACACAAAAAAAGTACAAAATACAGGATTTGGGTGGCTCGAAGTGCGCACTGTTTGTTAGGGAAGCTTGTCAACGTGGTTGCGAATGCGAATGCGAAAACCGCGTGATTTATGCGCTTTTAAAGCACTTAACGGTAAACAAGTCTATGAAGTCCAGGGTCAGGTCAGTTTCGGTGGCAGCGCAGGCATACAATAAATTCTCTGCGAATAAATCTTTCAACTACATAAATCTCACAAGCCAAATTTGAGCCGAAACGTATTTACTTTTTTTTTTTCGACTGCAATTCGCACAAATCAAAGCGAAATTGCTTTGATTTGAAAGCTTTTTTTTTGGGGGGGGGTCTCGCGGTTCTTAATACAGACTGACTGTACTAACTGGTGGCGGTATCCTCACTGGACGAGTGAGAGGTTCGCCAATTAAAAATAATTTCAAAGCTGGCATATGCGCGCATTTGGAAAAGCCGCAGCCACCCTGTTGGGCTTTGGCAAATATCGTAAAATTTTATCGTACGCGTATAAAAGATTAAAATAAAGTACAAAATTGTCAAATATGTTGCTCGAATGCGCCCCAACACAAAAAATAGGCATGTGAGTGGAGGCGCAATTCGCGAAATTTACAATTAACGCGAACAGGAAAAAGCCAAGTCAAATAAACATAAGTTTTTATGCGTTTGCCAGTGCCAGTGAAAAGCGTTTGAGAGTTTGGGGGTTGTACTAGCTAGAGATGAGAGCGTGAGTAACCGATAGCTGCGACATGTGGCTCAGAACAATTTTGAATGCTTAAGTTGTGGAAGCTACAATATCGAGTTGTATTCAGCTTTGTCTTTGAGGCTTCATTTGATAATAAGGGTATTTAGATATCATTCATCCTAACATCATTCAGTAAACGATAATTAAGTTCTATATATGTTAATATCTTACCCTCCCCTTTAAGCTAGAGCTGATACAATGGATATTCCTATCACTTCCATCTGAAAACGTCCTGGCTGGAGGAGAAAGGAGTGTGCTTGAATATAAAAATATATGTACATAAATATATACATATCTAGATTATAGCCCGCTTCATACTTGCTCGTATCTAATATTATTGATATTCCCTATGCCCATTACTTAAGATGAAAGTATGAATATTCTTACTGAATATACATAGTCAAACACTTTCAACATTTGCCTTGCCTTATCTCGAACTTTTAACTTCCATAACCCGCTTTCACTTGCTATCATTCAATATTAAGGGTATTCCTTTACCCTACTTCTAGCCATCTACTTAACATGAAGAGAGCTTCAACTTCTATCTCCCACATTCAAATTATTCCAACTATTTGCTGAGCCTCTTCAATATTGTGACTTCCGCAATTCCCCTTATCCTGCTTAGCATCTCATATTATGGGCATTCCCTTTTGTCATCTCTAGCTTGATATCATATGCAAAAATGCAGCACATGTGTTAAGTAAATCTTCCGCCGCCTGCCCATAATCATAAACATTTATGGCTGACGCACGCCTGCAGGCAGCAGGACATCCCCCCAATGCAGGACTTTGCCTCAACTCTGTCTCGTCACTTTGACGAACGCAATCCTTTTATATAAGATTTTTTGTTCTGTTGTTGCTGGTGTCACATGCTGCACATGCAAAGCCACAGGATTAGGTACAACTGTGCCACGCATCGCGCATTGGGCTCAATTTGATTATGACTTGACAAATAATTGTCATTTTGATGTGACGCGGCGACTTAAAATGCTAAGTAATTGTAAATATTGAAAATTTGTTAAGGGTGAATGCGCAGTTAACCCTTTTTAAAGGCGAAAACTCCTAAGCACAGACAGAGTTGGCTGTGTATAGTAATTTTATGAAATTATAGAAAATTTTATATATATTATGTGCTGACGCAAAATAATCTTTTTATTAAATTTTGTGGTGAATTTATATAGGGATATTTTTTTTTTTTATTTATTATCAACTCACCAACTTTTTATTTATTAAAAGAAAATTATTTTCTTCAGTTATTTAGGTGCAAAATAATTTTTTTTATTAAATTCTGTGAAGATTAAATCAATGAATATTATTATTGCCAATTTATATTTTTTATTCGAAGTATTTTTTACTATTTTTTAAACGTTGAATATAATCTGAAGACATGTATTCATTTACATTATTATAAAAAATATTAAAATATTATATATATTTTAGAAATATAAATATATATATTTTTTAAATATACATATATGAATATATATAAAATGTAAAATATATATTTTTTACATTCAAAATAATTTTTTATATACATATAATTTCGAATATTTATTCGCCCACTATGAACTCATATCTTAAACACTCACATAATCTAGACTCCATTTCTAACCACGTTTTGGATTCACTCCTTTGCTCATTTGCCTGAAGCTTTTATTATTCGCCAAGCTTATTTGGCTGTAACTTTAGCTATGACAAGTTCAATTCATCATCCACTTCTTTGAGCACAGTTAGAAATGTCAAGTGATTTATGACTCGTATGCTGGGAAACTATGCCAAAAAGCATTTCCTGCTACGCACTTACCAATTCAACTAATTTAAATTCCGCTCTCTCTTTCACATTCTCCTCTCCCCTCTCTCTCTCTCTTTCTTCGCTTTGTTGAAAAATCACAGCGTGTAGATATTTGTGCTTTGCTTACGCTGAAAACTGTCAAATGCTTTTGCCACAACATTTTCGCCCGTGTGGTGGGGGCTAAATGTTAACAAGCGTTTTACACAATGCTACAAGGCACATGCTGCACGAGCAGGAGCGCCAAAAAGGACGAAGCATGAAGCACACAGGCACACAGGCGATACCGCTGACAGCTGCAAACCCATAAATCAACAAGTTAAGTCAAACGTGCGGCTGCAGCGCTAAAAGCCAAGCAGAACCAGAAATAGAAGAAAAAAAAAAACTGAAAATCCAGAGCCGAAAATTTAAAATTTTTGCGACACACACATGCAGCAGGAAGCTGATGAAATGGGGGCCACCCACAACAAATGATAAAAAATGGAATTGATTTCAATGTTTAATAAAAAATTCATGAAAATTTGTCAGCTAGCAAAGCTTTTGCTGTTTCGGGCTTTGTTCCGAGTCTAGCTCTGGGTCTCTCGGTCTGCGGCCGCTATTAATCACAGTTTGTTGCACTCGCTGCGCCATAAAGTGATTCATGTGTGTGTTGCTGTAGCTACCGGGGTTGGAGTAGCAGTGGGGGTAGCTAGGTAGGTAGCAGCAGCAGCAGCAGCAGCAGCAGCAGTCTGTAAACACCAGGCGCATCCTGGCGAGGACCTATGCTGTCACGGCATTTTCAACTTGCCCCATGATTTATGTTGCATTTTAGACCAAATGACAACTTGCGTCTTCTTTTTCATGCTGCGCGCCCCCGTTTTTTGTTTGGCCAACAATAAGCACTAATCAGACAGCAGCAAATTCTCATTAGATATATCCAATAAGAGAGAGGGTGCTTTAAAGCGCATTTACTGATTTCTACTTATCGAAAAACGTTTGAGAAATGGAAGGTATTTAATAGGACTAAAAGGATGCTTAGGTAAGGCTTTTTATAAATTTAATTTATAATTTATCTGGATAAAATTTTCTTGAGTGTTTTTCATCGGAGTTTTGAAATTAATTGAAATATTGATGACAGATTTAGGAAACAAGGGAAAGAAGAAAAGCATAAATGAAAAACGCAATCGAAAATTAGTCCACTAAAATTAATTGACAGCAATAAATACTTATAATAATGTAATATAATGAATACAACATAATAATTATTTTTGTATTCTTAATAATAATTTTCTTATTTTTATTTTTAAATTAAATTAAATAAATAAATAAAATTAAAAAATATATTTTCTTAAATGGTCTTTAAAAAAGATTTCATTTAATTAAAATCTATTTGAAATTTATTTCACTTTCACTTCCTCTCTTAGTGTATTTCATATTCGTTAATAATGCATTAACTTTCCCCCTCGGTTTGCTACACTCTTCTCTGTCATACATTTTCAGTTTTGGTAATTCATTAGGCTTGCCAAAATTGATTTATCCACGGCTGCTACATATCGTATATTTATAGATTTTCAGCTGGCCCGGAAAAAAACAACAACACAATAATGCAATTGATTTTTGGTGATAAAAATCAATGTTTTTACCCAAAAAAGAAAAGGGTTCACTAAACGACCTAACGAGCAGAGGGGTTGAGGGGTTGCAAAGGCCTCCAACACTCCTGCTCTTGCCACTGACTCTGTTTCGACTCCTGCCCTACCTCTACCTCTGCCTTTGTTGCTGCTCCTTCTCCTGCCTCTGCTCCTTCCCCTATGCCTGCTTTATGGCCTTTCACTCTCACTCAACCAACTGTTTACACACATGCGGTTGTTTCATATTTCATAAATTTCCCTCAATTTTTATTTTTTTTGCCAGTACCAAAATCAAAGCATAAAGTTGTCAAGGCGTATCGAAGCCGAAACCCCTTTTTAGCCCTGGCTCTCAGCTCCTGCGTGTTGTGTTTTTTTTTTGTGCGTCGTCTTATTTATGAAAATTGAGTTATAATTGGTAGTGCATTAAGTTGTCGCTCTGCCAGACGCCACTTTGCTCACTTTTTTATCCGAGTTTCCGGGCTGCCGTTGACGCATTTCTGCATCAAGAAATACGCAAATTGAATTTATAGGCAGGCCGACGGGCCATGCGTGGGTTGTGTGGAGTGTTTGTGCCTTGAAAGTGCCACTAAATCAAAATCATGTCGCCACACACACGCACACACACACACACACTCGCTCATGCTCACATATGAGCTGCAAAGGAAATGCATGCGGCAACAAGGGGTTAAGATCGTGTGTTTTGCATACGTTTCCACGTGCTTCCTGTTGCTCTGTAGATACATTTATAGATATGCTCTCTTTTTTATGCCATTTTGCGTATCCTTCCGTTGAGGTCCTGTGCTTTTTGCATATGTCCCGGCGTCGCAGTTCGCTGAGCGGTTTCTGCTGAGGATTATTGCTCACATGTGGAACTGTTGTTGTGACAGTTGAGCGCTTCGTTAGCGGTTGAAGTGGAGTGTGAGGTAAGCTAGGGGAAATTTAATATATTTATTTCATATAAATTTATTTTTTATTTTATTATAAATTTGTAAATAGTTTAATATATATTTAAAGGTTTTGAGAGTGATTTTTAGTATGTAATAATAGATATTCATGAAAAGAAATTTTTAGAATATCCCGAAGCATTTAGTACAAATACTGTCAAAACAATCCTAGTCCTAAAATAATGTTGAACTACAGTTGTTAGATAAATAGAATCAGACAATTGAATATTTTATTTAAGTTATACAAGTATTTTTAGTATTCTTTGTATTTCTATTTCTAGTATTTTTAATATTTTTAGTATTTTTAGTACTTTTAGTATTTTTTTAGTAATTTTAATATATACTGAATAAGTCAACGCTCATATATATATATATATATATATTTAAAAAAAAATAAGAAAATCCAAAAGACTAGACTAAAAATATAACTTTTATATATATATATACTGTATAAAAGTTATATTTTTAGTCTAGTCTTTTGGATTTTCTTATTTTTTTTTTTTATTTTTAGTATTTTTTAGAATTTTTAGCATTTTTAGTATTTAGTATATACTAATTACATCAACACTCACATTTAACTATATTAAGGACTATATTTAGTTTATTCTTTAGCATTCTCTTAGTTTTTATTTGTTTTGCATTTTTAGTATTTTTTAAGTATTGTTAGTATTTACAGTATTTTTTAGTATTTTTAGTATAGTCTTAGTATTTTCAGTATTTAGTATAAGCTGATTAAATGAACACTCACATTTAACTAAACAAAAGGTAAATTTTTAGCTTTCAAACTGTTCTTAGCATTTTTGCAAGTAGAATTTAAAATGGTATGAGTAAATAGCGCTTTTGGTATTTTTTATATCTAGTTAATATTTGCCAAATCACGTAGTATAAGTATGTCAATAAAATATTTAAAGGCTTTAGGCATAAGTTCAGTAATTACACAATACCCAATGCTCACTGCATTATGTTTAACATTTAATCAGTTTATAAATAATATTATTTATTTATTTAATTTCTAACAGCATTTCTTTTAATATTTGCTATTAAGCTTCTCATTATGTACTAAGCTAAAATAACTTTCTTCAGCCACAGCCCTTTACTAGCTGCGTTCTCCTTCTCCTGCTTCTAGCCCTTGCCTTTGTCCTGTCCCGGACAACACTTCTTTCTGGCTACTTTACTTCCACTTCTGACCACATGCTCACATTGAGCGCACAAAAGGCACAAAACTGTGGGCAGCACGCCTCTTAAACCCCTTCGCTGTGGCCACTTTTATATCCTGGTCACTTTTCCTTCACTTCCTCCAATTCCATTTTTTTTTTTGCTTTCTTTTTTGGCCCATTGCCTAGCACTGACCCTTTGGCTAACCGGACAACCCTTCCTCGCATATAAATTATATGATTTCTGCATTATTTTGGCATAATGCGCACATTAATGACACACACTCGAAATTATGTTGTTAATCGAACGGGGTTGCTGGTTGAGCGATAGTTCGATATTTGCCGATTTTTTGACATTTGTTTTAGGGGGCGCCAACAATTTATTGCCTGCTCTTTTATTATTTCTTTTTTTTTTTTTTTTTTTTTTTTGTGCTGTTTTGGTGGCCTTTTTATGTTATTTTTGCGTTGCATTTTTATGTGTATTGTGTGTGCATTTTATGCCCTAGCAAACATTAATTTTCCAGCTATCCATTGACAGACAGTTGACGTTTTAGTGCAATGGACGAGTGAGCAACTCAATACGGAGCACATTACTGAAATTACCTAACCGCTGGCACGTAAAATGATATATGGCTCTTTATAGCAGGCGAAATTCGTTAATGTAATGCTTCAGCTGAAGGTATTTATCATTTACAAGTAGTTAAGCTGATGAAAAGGGAGTAGATATGTTTTAGTTTGGTATAGGTTGAAAATATTTATTAGTGATATCTGCACAGTTCTACATTAAAAGTATTGAGACCGAAAAAAGATAATAGATTGAAGAAAACATTTATCTTTTCATGGAAAGCTTGCTTAAAAAGAGGCTACAAATTGTCATTTTTGTATTTATCGTCTACAAGCTTCTCTATTCATAGATCTGAAGAAGAAGAACTGCTGAGATTTCTAGTCCGTCGTCAGAAGCTCTTAAGGATATTAGACATAGATGCAAGCCATACTAAATTAAAATTTATAGGATTTATAGGATCTATAGGATATAAGATATATTGGGCTATACGAAATATTAGGTTAATAAGCTATTTAGGATAGTGGACGAATAGTTACATGGGATATATAGGACATGTAGGAAACCAAAGGATTGAGGACACATTAAATATTTCGGATATATATATATGAGATATACCGTATATATACCACATATAAGAAAAATAATATAACGCTATTAGATTGTGAATAAAACCCATCCAACCTCTCATACCCTATCAATAATTTTCATTTCATTTTTTATAGCTCTCAAGCGTACCAATGTTATTAATCTAGTCAGTTCTAAATATACTTTATGCAGAGCACCCCTCTGACCATATATCATTCCATTTCGTCTCCCATTTCTTTGCTAAAACTATTCCAACTGAACGAAATAAATTGATGCGAAATTCACTTAAATTCATTGGCATTTTAGTCGACTGGACAAATCAAATCAATGCCAGAGAAATAGAGGAAGGTTTTATAACATTATTTGTATACAGATAAATGAAATAAATCTTACAGTGTCACACATATGGCACGGCCTGCGCTGACAGCCGTACTTGGTGAGGTTAAATGAAAACCCCCCCAAACGTTAAACAACAACTGCGAGGCGAGGCGAGCCGTAAAAAGTCTGTAAGATTTACCAAATATTGCACAATGATGGATCATAAATAACTTATGTTTGCACGGCCGAGTCGAAGTTGAGCAGAAAAAAAAAACGGACAAAAAGTGACGTAACGCATAAGGTTAATACTCGGAGAATAGCGACAAGCGCCCTCTGGCTCTGCCCCTCTCTCTCTCTCTCCCACACCCACTCTCTATCTTTTTCTCTCTGTATGTGTACTGCCTCGACCATTAAGCACAAAAGGATGACCCTTGATGCCGTAAAAAAGAACTGACTGGACAATGGTCACTTGATGATGCGGGCGCGTCGTCGCCAGCGCCCAAAATACGTTTCCCATATTCTCTCGCATATATTCCCACTGGGAGCTGCAGCAGCTTCTCGTTTTATATCGCCCGAAATGAACGGAAGCGACTCGTAAAACTAGCGAATTGTGAATTATGTTGCTGACATATAGTCAGCGCTGTCACCAGGACTGTCCTCCTGCGGCAGAGAATGCCAGTCAATAGCTGACAATAAAAACCGAAATGGTAAGGGCTACTTGGCACATATAAAAAAAACTAGGAGTTGGTACTGATGGACTAGAAAATACTTTAAATAGATGTGTTGGGAGTGCTTCATATTATTTTCAAGGCTTTGTCTAATCGAATTTTAAGCATTTATCAATATAGTCATGAAGAGAATTATTATGGATAATATTTATATAAGGCCAAATACCAAGTTAAAGGTGTCTAGCTCTTAAACTATTCGTACGATGCCAAAGACATCAGCTGTATTGTACATTTAATATGATCTATTAAAGGAATGTTTAATTCCTCAGTTAAATCTGATTCTTAATATTATATACTTAAAATTTCAAGCGCCTAGTGCTTTTAAAACTCGAGATATGAGAAAAAGAGTTATGAATAGGGAGACCTCAAAAATAAGCTAGATCTTATAGAGAAGAGAGAGAGAGAGAGACAGCCAGATTAGCAGTCAGTAAAATGAATAGTCAACCATAACTAGAACCACACTCTGCTACTTCCCCTACAATAAACCCATATACCCTCTCAGACACACCCAACATTTGCAGGGTATGCACAGCGCTTGGACATTGGTCAATGGTATGGCAATAGCTAAGTATTCATGGGTAGTTTGGCGTCTATTGAACTCCTGTTTTTTCTTCAGTTCAATAAAAGGTGCATTAAACATGGCACAGGACACTTCAAGCACTTGGAAAACATAGTCGTAAATACATTTTATTGTAAATTGTGAGCACTATAAAAAGCAGCAGCAGCAGTAGAGGATGTTAGAGGTTGGGAGTTACGTAAGGTGCGATACGGGTCAATTGCTGTAGCAATGTTACAGAGGCTAAAAGTTATCGTTTTTAGTTAAATGCCAAAGTAAAAGCCATTAACTAGCATTTAAAATATTCATTATTGCTAATGTTTGCAAGGCAAAAGAAAAACACCGAAACACAATTAGCTTTTGCAAGCGAACTAACCGCACAACTGTGAAGCCCAGAAAGAAAATTTACTTTTAAAAGTTCAGCCGAAAGAAAGATAGAGGTATAGGTAAAGGCAGAGGCAGAGGCACAGGATAAGGCATTCAATATGCACACGCCATAATCACATTAAAGCGTAAACGATATGCAAATGGATGTGCTGACAAGGAAGCTCACACAACTTCATCAAAAATGCGCACATGTAAAAATGTAAAGAAAGCAAGTAAGAAAGCAATAGTCATGGATGGTCGACTGGAAGGTACCCTGCAGCGAGTGGAGGTTTTAAATGTATTGTAAGAAAAGTAGTTGAAACCAGAGCTCAGTAACTGTTATAGCACTTAGAAGCAAATGTTAATCAGCTGTTACTAGCTAATAATTTAAACACAATTCAGTTGCAAAATTGGAATACAAACTGACTAAAGGGTTTATTCCATAACTTCTTTGTTAGTTATCGGATTTTAATAAAATTGTTGGCATATGATCTACGTGCTGTATGGAATATTTGTCAATTAAAGAAAAATGGAAACTCAAACACATATTTGTTGAATTTAAGAAATTTGATAAAATCTAAAATATCCTTAACAGCAAACAAAAGTTTCAGACTCTTGCAGTAAAAATATACTAAATATATTTTAAAAACTGAATATTAATAGAATTTTTATTGATAACATTAAAATGGAAATAGTTATCGATTATTAGGAA